TCTGGATGAACATGAGTCATCCGCATACATGACTCATGTATATGTCCTTGGTAAAGATTATATCACAAATACTGATGGATATTAAACTTTAAGGAATAAATGAGGTCAAACAAATAATGCAGGATTCTACACTGAGTAGAATGGAGACCTGCTGTTAACTGAGAAAATGGCTGGGAAATCTCAAAACTGGGGCACCCTGCTGTGGCATTCTCTTCCCACTTGCTGTGCATTCCTCCCCTTTGGGCTTTTCATACTTTGTGCTGTGTACCAGCAGTTTCAGCAGCTGCTGTAAGCAGGGCCTGAGACCCAAGTGTACAAGAGGTCTCCTTCAGGCTAGGACATGCCAATGATGCTGGTATGGGACATCGTCCTGCTTGCCCCTGCTTGGCACAGGCTGCGTGATGCTGGGAATGTCATTCATCAGAAATGCTTTGGTGTTCCATTGGTTCCTCTTTGCCAGATTACCAAATGGAAAAAAAGAAAAAAAAAAAAGTTTTTGCAATAGCTAGGACATAGTAAAATTAGAATATTCTGTTTCTTTCATCTTTCGTTTCTTTACAACCATTTTCAATGGCAGAATGGGTTTAAATAATGGTAAGATTCATTTAAACTATTAAAACACTTCTAAACAGAGCAAGTTTCTTAGCAATTAAATTAAGTTTCTCAGAAAAAAATTCATTTACAATCAGCTGCTGGTTCAAAAGGTGTGAAGCCATGAGGATGAACATTAAAGCAGAAACTTTACCACTTCACAGATTAAACACTTAATTCTGAACAAAAGACAAGTTAATGCACGTACATACATTCCCACTGAGCTTACAGTATTATCACATGACTAATTTTAAAGAGATAAGAAACCACCCTGGACATTGGTAGACTTAGTAAAGATAAGGTAAAATTTATTAGAAAAAGAAATACAAAAGATGTTCATAATAAACTTTTTTTTTGGTAGGACTTCCCCAAAGTTTTGTTCAATGTATTCATGTTACCTAGATCTGTGGATTAGACTGGACATTCTAGTGAATATTCAATATTGGGAACCTCAAGTTGAAGCTTCCTTAACATGATACTGCTCACTTGTCTCAAAGCAATCCCTGCAGATGGGGACTGTGTGTGACAGGTTTTATTAAAACAATGTAAAAGGAGGTATTGCTTCAGCATATTTAAATTACATACAAGCTTTCAAAAATTCACTAAAACAAATGGAAGTTGTTATACTTCAGCAGACAGTGGATGAAGCTGAGCAGCTTCGGTTTCCCAATCCATAAATGGGGCTCTGCCCCTGTGCTGTTCCAGTGGTGGGACCATGGCCTGATTTCAGACCTGGTGTCACAACCTGGCAAGGTGAGCAAGCTGGAGAAGAGAAGGTCTGAAAAGGGAGTAAAGATGCAAGGACTAGCATGAATAGACCTTGCAGGTCAGAGGTGCTTTCCTGTTTATATGTAAATAAGATAAACAGTGGTATCACCAGACTTTGCTGCCTGTCCATGGCACTGGCTCACGCTCAGTGGGCCTGTCACAAACTCACTGTTACAAGTGTACTTGTCTTGCACATCTCAGGCACTGATTTCCTGCTGTCTCGTACCTCGTGCAGGCACTTGTCTCAGAGCCAACTGCCTTAAACTGTACTGGATGTGATGGATGAGCTTTATTTGCAGCAGCTTTTTCCAGATTGCTGAGACAGCTTTGATCTTTGTTACTATGTACCTGGTCAGCAAAACAGAATCATCAGGAAGATACAACTTTCTTAGCAGACTTTTTAGCTGATGCTACATTTTACAAAATATTATCTTTTATGTATGGTTTCACTCAGATAACTGCTTCCTGATGCCTTCCTCGGTTCTTAGATGTGACGTTACTCTAGGCAAGCCCACAAACCCAATATCCTGTCAATTCTGGATGCCTGCAGCACAAAGGAAGGGAAAACCGGCTTTTTTCCTGCATGGACTAGAATATATTGTTTAACTGGATTTTTGATGCAAAAGCAGTGAAGTTCAGTGGCAATTCAATCCTATATTAAAGCAAGATGAAGACCTGTCGCAGACTTCTGGTGACTCGTTAGCTGTAGCATGATTTTGCTGAATAACAGGAGCAGAGGCCATTTTCTGAGTGTTTTAAAAATAAATTATACAAGTACAGACTGTACTAGACACTGCACAGAAGAGCAGCTTAGCACAATCTAATGATCATGGAAAGCACAGCTGTCCAAGGTAATTAAGAAAATCCCAGGAGATCTGCAGCTTGGTCAGTGGAGTGAATGGCCAGGACATTGCAGTGCTGGGGCTGAAGGCTGATCATGTTCTCACACTTTCCAGCTAAATAGTAACCAGGAGGCAGAAGAGATTATCAGTAAAGTCTGTTCCCCTGTTTTCTACTAATGCAGCAGCAGCACAAGGTATAAAGCTTTCTAGACTCCCGCTTTACTCTGATTTACTTTAATACCAGCTGTAAAATCATACAGAATTATACCGTCTTTACTTCACAATTATTAGGCTCCTGTGAATTATTTTTATTTCTCTCATCATTGAATGAATTTGTAGTGTCAAACTATTTGAACGATCTTAATTTTGGACTTACTTTTATTTAATCATACAGAAGTACAGTTACTAAAAAAATTCCTGTGACTCATTTCCATGTCTTCTTGATAGCCAAGCAAACGTATTATTTCATACTTACAAAAATTATGTGCTTAATGGTAATATCCATATCTGGCAAGACCATTCCTGATGTTCCTTAGAACCACAGTGTTAAGTGCCAATGACAGATTTATTTTGCAGTATATTGCAGAGAATTACTCTAGCTCAGTGATAATCACTGGGAATTTTTCTTCTTCAATGGTGAGGGATTTAAATACAGAAAAACTGTGGTTTAGGCCATGTTAATAAACAATATAAATAATATATTCAAGGGAAAAAGTATGTTTTCTTAACTTGAAACCTAGAGGTGGGATTTTAAAGTTAGAACTTATTCTGAGCTTTAGATTGTCTGCAGTGTAGAGTGCTTCTTCTGGTTTTCCAACTAGAGCACTTCCATAATGCTAGAATACTACAAGTCAAATAAATGGACTTAGAATGAAAAGGCATGCATTTGTCTACAGAGAGTTGTGGTATAAACTAGAAGTGTAATTATCAGAGACTTTTTCTCCACTGATTACTCTTCTAAAACTTAGCATTTATGAAGACTCTTTTTTCACTTGAGGGAGTTTTGGTTTGGTGGATTTTTGCTTATATTGTGTCTGCATTACTCTGAGATAGACAGATAGATAGATAGATAGATAGATAGATAGATAGATAGATAGATAGATAGATAAATATATAGATAACATAACTTCTAAAAACACAGCTGGAGAACCAGTAAACACATTAGAATAAATGTGTTAATAAAAACTGTATGGTTGCTTTCTGAAATACTAATCTCTTAAAGTGTGTTGGGATAGCTAAAAGCAGTCACTACAAAAAAGTGAGACAGATAACACAACAAAAATGTTGAGCTATAGTTTATTGTATTCAAATACAAAGTCACCAAATTAATAAATGGGTCTTACGCACCATTATGGACAGAATCCAAGCAACTTTCTCAGTGTTTTATTATTTACTGCTTGCTATTTATTAAAGAACACTTGCATAGAAGTGGAAGGTTACCTCAGCTTTTTGCATTTGAACTGTGGGATACGTTCCCTGTCTGGGAGATACTACAGCTTAACAGATGTCTCCCAGATGGTTCTCTGATCCAGTCATACACAGAAGTCAGGTCAGCAGCTTCGGAAATAAAATTCAACTCACAGGAAATACTTATAGTTGATTCAGCATGCATCAATATGACCTTTATTAGTGTTGAAGGAAAAAGAAGAGAAAAAGTTCACATACTTCGAATAGAAAGCTTTTGGTGAAAATATCAGAGAAACTTTTAGTTTAGCATTACTAGGCAGACTTTTAGTTTGGCAAACTAGGGCTTACCCAAACTTAAAAAAGATAAAGAAAGAAAAGAAAGGAAAGAAAAGAAAGGAAAGAAAGAAAAGAAAGAAAGGAAAGAAAAGAGAAAGAAAGAAAGAAAGAAAGAAAGAAAGAAAGAAAGAAAGAAAGAAAGAAAGAAAGAAAGAAAGAAAGAAAGAAAGAAAAAGAAAGAAAAAGAAAGAAAGAAAGAAAGAAAGAAAGAAAGAAAGAAAGAAAGAAAGAAAGAAAGAAAGACAGGCACATGTTAAAGAAAGGAAACAATCCTGCTCTTGTGGGGTTAGCTCACAGCCAGAGCAGCAAGCAGAAATCCCGTGTGGTGGGACAGTAGAAGCACTCAAGCTGGCACAGGGAACACACCAGAGTATGTATGCTTGTAATGTTCACAGAGAGGCCACAAAAGAAAACAGATGTCTAAAACTTGTATTTGTATGCGGTTTCAGTTATTAGTGTCATCCTGATGGCAGTGTCATTTGATATGTGCTCCATTTTTTAGCGTGCTTTGAAGCATTCTTGCTGCACAGCAAATTAATTTTAAATTGGCTGGTGTGATACTTATTTGTGCCAAATGTAACAATTAGTTGTAAAGTGGATTTTCATATTCTGAAGGTAGATGGTACATTTTAAAGGCTTTATAGAATTCCAAGGTCACTGTGCTTGTGTCCTCTTGGTGTCAGAGCCCTCAAGGCACCAATAGGCTTTAAGGGCTCTGACCAGCCTCAGCTGAAACCTCCACTCATATTTCTTGTCCATAGGCCCAGGACCTGTTTTTAAGCTGAGCCTTCGGCTTTCAGTGGTGTGGACAGCACTGCTGGAGGAGTGCTGGTCTAGTTCAGTGTTGGTCATACCTGCACGTGGCTACTGAGCCCCTTGATTCAGGCCCTGACCTTCAGACTTCACCCTGGACTGCTGCAGTGCTGTGGACCTGCCTGGCAACTCCTGGAACTGATCCTGGCGTGTGAGGGCTGACTCTGTCCCTCCCTGGCAGAGCTCTATCATCACAGCGACCCTGTCCTGTGATGTGGACTCTAGGCTGGGTGTGGTGGCTGTCTCTGGAGGTTTCCTGCTCACCTTGCTCTGCTGCTGTGGGGCTGCGCCCTGGCTGCTCTGTTTTGCTCAGCTCCTTTCCTGATGGCCAGAGATGCTGCCCACTGAGGCTTATTCTTGTGCAGCTTGTCCTTAGTCTTCAGTATATCTTCTCATTGTGCAATGTTAATTAATATTTATTAGATTTTATTTTTATCTTTGTGTTCTAGATGTCAATTTCTTTTTCTCTTAGGTTTGTTACCACGCATGCTGCAATGAGATCCCAGAGAGCGAGCCGCCTTCTCGGGCCCAGAGAGCACCGCTGAAGATTGCTGGTGGTAAAGGCGAAGGGATGGCTTCTCGTTTGGCAATCTGACAACTGGTTTATTGAAGAACACAGCCTTGAATGAATTCAGGGACCAGAACCCAGGACTGGGCTGAGGGAACAGGGTTAAATGAGGGGCAAAAGGGATGGATCTGAGGGTCGAGGTCCAAGGGAAAGTGCTTCAGGGGAGTGGCTGAAGACCAGGAGAACCAAGGGGATAACAGGGGTGGAACAATGCAGCCAGTGGGGGTTAAGGGAAGGAAGAACGTTCTAGGAAGGGTACATAAATGGTAAATGGGAGCTGAACAAGGGTGACATCAATCCCCACACACTTTCAGAACAACAAAAGCCAAAAGGCACCAACATGTGGCTGCAAAAAGCCCATGGGAGGGAGGCCTTTTCTTCCTCTGTTCTAGAGGGGCGTCTCTTCCCTTTTGCCTCTTCTCCTCCAGGGCTGAGATATGACTACCCTGGTGGCAGACCCCTGGGCCTCCACAGGTTTCCAGTTGATTTTGCCCTTCCTTTAATAACTCTTCTCAGATTCTCACTTGGCCTCCCAGTTGTGGACCTCCTCTCTCAAATTCCCCTGTTTCCTTCTTCCAGGAAATCCCTGACAGTTGTCTTCAGTAGAACTACTTCATGCCTATCCTTGATGGATGAAGATTTATGACTTGATCTATCTCTAAATTAATCACTTCCTTAGGCAGTTTCCTCACAAAATGTATCAGAAGAATTTTACTCAAAGTGAAAGGGAGAGAAAAATCTCAGGAGTTATAAGAGAAGTAATAATTTATTATATACTCTAAGTGAAATCCAACAAAGGTCACTGCACTTAGAAGACTGAGGAGAAGTGGGGGGTTTGGTATGGAATAAAATGCCAAGCTTTCCCTTAATTGAATCTTAGGTGTACAACTCCCAAACTCTTCCTCTTTAAAATATTCATGTAAAGTTTCTCTTGCCAAAATTATTGCTAAATAAGCAGAAAGGAAAATGTCATAATGGTTTGGTATGGTTTGGTTTGGTTTATTTCTGGGCTAAAATTCTGAAGTAAGTAATAAGCTAGAAGAATGTGCTGCAGTAAATGCAGTGTTTGACAGATGCACTTATGTTAGAGCAGACAAGAAGTTTCCTCCCCTAACTAAAGCTTATGCAAAATGTAAATAAGGATCTGCTATTTGGTTCCTTCCATCAGGGGTAGAAACCAGAAAGATTACTGGGAGATTTCATGAGCCTCATGCAGGCTTTGTGGTGTATTTCCTACATTGATGAATGGATTTGCAAACAAAAGGGGTAGGTGTAGGAAAAAGAAAAAGCAAACAAGCAAACAAACAGCCCCCCCCCCCCATAACAAAACAAAGCAAACAACACAAGCAAATAACAACAAACAAAAAAACAACACCAAAAAATGCGGAAAAAGGAAAAAAAAAACAACCTCATGACACCAACAAAACCACTGCAAACCAAAGCCCAGCAAAAGCACCCAAGTACGGCTACACAGGGACAGTGGGGCTCTGCTCAGCACAGCTCTTGGAAGTAGCACCAAAGCAGCTTCCTCTTCCCCCTGTTGTTACAGTGGTAAGGGGCAGCTCTCTCATGAAGAAAATCATTCATTTCCCACTCCTCCAACATTCATCTTCCCAGCTTTCTGGTCCGAGTGTTTGCTGAACATGAGACTGCAGTTTGTCTGGGCTTTTTCCCCACTATATGAAGCAATCAAGACTGTAAAGTATTGGTTCATTACAAATTCTTTTTCTATGATTGGAATCAAGCCACAGCAGCCAAGGCTTCTACCTTTCCAAGCCTTCTCACTGTCATTCTGATTGTCAAAAGCTTTTTATGGCCTCCTGACTGCCACGTTCCCAAGGCTGTGTTCAACAGTGCCTTGTTTCCATTTGTTTCACCACTTCATTTCACTGCTATATCCCTATAGCAGATGCAAAGGCTACTTTAGTAACTAAAAAGGCAGTATTTCTTCCTCCTAAATTCAGGAACTAAGAGTAAGAAATTCCAGTGATCCCCTAGACAAAGTACGCCATCTGCGCATTCTCCTTTGAAGCTTTCCTGGTGGCTTTCTGATCTGAAATGCTCAGACTTCAATCCAGCCAGTAATTAATGGGACTGATGTGCTTCCAGCTTGCTCCCAAAAAGCTGTGCTGGAGGCAGAGTGTTCACCCCAGGCCTGTAGAGGCTTTTGGCAAAGGGAGCAGTCTGTGTGTAACACTGGGATACCATGAAACTCCACCAAGTGGCCTTGCCCAAGGCAGCCTGCTCTGACAAATATTTATAGGAAAAAAGGATTACTAAGATGATGATCTTTCAATTACAGACCTCTTCCTGATCATTCTGGAAGCACACAGATGAAGAAGGCAATGCCATGCTTCACTGCATAGGTTTTAGTAAAACTGTGCTACAAAAATAACTGTGCTAAATGCATAAACAACTTGGTTAGCCCCAGAGTTTTTTTATCTTGAAAAAGAATGTTTGTCTCAGGAGGATAATTAATACTTAAATATCATAACATAAACACGAAAACAATTTGTTTTATAAAATCTAGGGGAAAAAAGTGGACTTATAGGAGTGTGCACTTGAAAGCCTTTCAAAGCAGTCATGCTTGTATTCAGTAGAACCAGAATAATAACATGCTAGATGAAACCCCTAACTAGGGTACAAAAAACAGGTCCTAGGGGGAAATAAAGCCATTTAGAGTTGTCTTAAATGAAGCAGAGCTGCAAAGTAAGTTTTATAGACAATCTGCACTGGAAAGAATTTAGGCACTAGTAAATATTCTGATGTTTTGCTGTTTGGCTTAAAATTGTGTCTTCTCATTCTTCATTCTTCTCATTCATTCTTCTCATATTCTCTTATACTTCTCCTTTTAAACAAGACCTGATTCCAACCTCTAGGCTGACTTTGGCGCAATATATAAAGTGTAGATGTACACATCAGATATTAATGACTGTTTGAGCTCTTCTATTTAGCAGTAAATGTGGGAAGTCCACTTCATTCCCGTATGAAATTAGTTATCCTTTTCTGTGATTTACACAAAGCCTTGGTGATAAGTAAGCTGCTGTAATTCAAATCAATAAATCTCTAGAAGACTTTCTAAAGTTATCAAAGAAAATTCTTTTTGCAGCAGAGAAGCTTCTTCTGCAAGAAGAATGAAATTCCCACTGAAGAAATTTTGCCAGAGGAGAAATAGATGTACTGCCTACCATTAAAAACAAAGAGTTGAGACACAAGGAAGTTTAAAAAATAATCACTCAAACAGAGTAGGAGTCTGTCACAACATAAGACTCCTCCAAGTTTGGGAATGTATTTTTTAAATGGAATGGATTTTTCTAATTGAAATTATGGTGATGATGCCTCTTTTATCAATTTTAGTCCTTACAGTTGTACACCAATAGTCTTAAGACCAGAGTAAGTCCAGGTAGATATTTTTACTGCTGGTCTTACCAATACTGAAGAAATACGTCACACAGTACTTGGATATCAGTGGGACTACTGGTGAAATAAGCATCTAAATTGCCTGGTCATGGGGCAGAAGAAGAAAAAAAAGTGGCTTTTAACCATTGCTATTAATCTCCTGGAATCCAAGGCTGGCCTCTGGATAAACCTGAAGAAAGCCAGAGGATTTTTTGTCATGCTACACCATTAGAATTTGTTAACTGCAGGAACACTGCAGTTGTGTAAGCATGTGCTGGACACTTGGAGTCCCTAGCACTGGCATCTCACTGGCACAGCATTTTCAGCAGCTTTTAAGGGCATTGTAAACTTCAGTTACTTGTTGCCTACATAAGTATATAATATCTTTTATTGGAAGGCAGTATTCGGTGTTTTTGAAGTTGACATTAAGCTGTAAGTAAAACCCAGTACTATCCTACATATTCAGCAAGATTACTGCAACCTGGTGATTTTATATAAGCCTACCTCAAAGTAAATGAGTGAAATCATGTTCAAAATGAGAGTTACCACAGTTATGTGACAGGACCTCAGTTTCAGTGTAACTGTTAATGAGTTTGCAAAAATGAAGCTTACTTTTAAATTGAATGTTAATTATCCCTCGCCTCAAAGCCTGCTGTGGATAGAACAATGTCCCAGTGAAGTTGGAATTGTAGTGTCATGTAGGCATTTCCCAATCAGACCCTAGTGTGAGTGGCAGATGCCACTGCAGTGAGGGAAAAACAAGCTTCATGTACTCCTTACCTCTCAGAGAGTGTAATTTCCTTGCTTACATATTGAAAATAAGATCCAGATCTCTGGTTGGCAGAAGTGTGCTACATGCATATCTCAAAGTGGGGAAGGCTGATATTAAGCTAGTTCCAAAGCTCCTTTTCTGCTGGAACTGACTGGCACTGACCTAGCTTGCAAGCTGTTCTGAATTGTATAACCTGTTTTCATTCCTTCTCTGGTTTTGACATATGGGGATCACCTGAATGGAGCTGTGCCTTTAGCACTTCTGTACAGAAGGTAGCTGGTTGAGTATGTTAGCTTTGTCTGCTGCAATCAATTCAGCCATACTGTACTAACATTTCTGCTAAGAAGATGAAAGGACTGCTGCAAAAAATAAGAAGTGTTTGTAATAGTTCATAGAAAAGGAAAATTGTGAAAAACAATTAGCTCACATGAAAGAATGCTGTTCTCTTGAAATCACTTTGAGAAGATCATCAGTACAATGGCGTAATGTGTGAAAGTCTAACGGAGCTCTTGGCTAAGACCCCCAACAGTGTGGATCAAACCACTGTGCTTCTAAATATAAAAGTGGGAAATGACTTACAGAAACAGAAAAAAAAAAAAATAACATCTATGCAAATAAATGAGAACACCTAATTTTTAACAATAATTGCTAAATAGAAATGTCCTCCTTCATTCCACATGATCTTACAGCACAGAAATATAAACTCCAAAACCAAAACTAAACCCACCATTCTAACTGACTATGTAGCACAGACAAACAGAAAGAAATATAAACCTGAATTAGATACCTCCAATCTCTTCTCAGTATACCTTCCCCTTTTTGCAAAAGCCTTTACTCAAAGCAGTCCACATCTGCATCTAGGAAGAAGAACATAAGAACAGCTTCAAAAATCATGTGAAATTCCCCATATTGTCAGGAAGAGCTATTGCTGAGATGTCTGATCTATATTGATTTGTACAGAAACTAACCAGCCTATATGTGCTTACAGCTACAATGCATGTAAGAAAAAGAAAACACCAACTTTTCATATATAAAAATGCTGCAGAGTTCTATAAAATAAACCAGAATGTTAACAGTACAGTATCATTTGCAATTAAGAGTTACAGCATCATCTGGTGGTCAAATATGAAAAGGAGCATTCTTGGATTATCCATTGTTGTTGTATTTCATTCAAACAGAAAAATTTAAAGCATAAAGAAAATGTCTGCTTGTCCTCAGGAAAGCAGTTACCTGACTTAAACCCTTTTAAAAATATCAACTTTCTCTTTTCACAGAAAGTCATTTTTATAGCGATCATTTTGCAGTCTCTGAGGGTGTATGTATGCCTATGTAGCTGTGATGGTTGGCCTTGACTGGATGCCAGGTGCCCACTGAGGCTCCTCTCTGCCTGCCCTCCTCAGCAGGACAGGGCACAGGAAATGTAACAGAGACAGGGAACGCCTGTCTTGGGCAAAACAGTGTCTGTCTTGGGGCCAGCTGGCACTGGCTCTTCTGGAAGGGGAAACTTCCAGCAGCTTCTCACAGAAGCCACCCCTGTAACCCCCTTTGTCCCACAAACTCTGTGCCTGGACAGAGTTTGTGTGACAGAGAAATAGGACCTGACACAATACAGCTTGCTCACACCTGGAGCCTCCGTACCAGACACCACTCTAGCAGTAACAGCCAGGATCCTGCCAGCCTCACTGCCTCCTTCTGTTG